AAGCGTGAGACCTGTGCTGGAGAAAGCACACAAGAACGTCTATCTTCAAAGCACCCGCTCCAATGCGAGGGAGCCTCTCAGAGGGCGAGCCACTCCTGCTCAAGTGTCCAGAGAGGCGGCAACAGGTCGTTCCGCCTGAAGCCGTGTTACTTCACAAAGACGCTCTTCTGCAGGTCTGGGGTACCGCGTTGAGCGAGCTGTCCTATTCTTTCTCTTCCCAGTGGATCACTCAGTATCTTAACAAACATACCTTTACAGTTCAAATAATAAATAAGCTAATTCCTATCTTTCATCTTTGTGTTCTGAAATAATTTCAGACTACAGAAAAGTTCTAGAGTTCCCAGATACCCCTTACCCATCTTCCCCTTATATGAACATCTTACACAACCATTGGACAATAATCAAAACCAGGTAATTAGGACTGATACGATACTGTTACCTAATTACAGACCTTTGCACATTTTGCCAATTTTCCCATTAACGTCCTTTTTATGGTCCAGAATCCACACTGCATTTCATTGTCATTGACCTCCAATCTGTAACAGATTCTTACCTTTCATGACCCTAACAGACTTGAGTGACACTGGCCAGTTATGCTGTGGAATGTTCCTCAAGTTGGGTTTGTCTGATACTTTGTCACAACTAGATCTGGGCATCGGACCAGACACCACACACTGTACTCTCTGCAACAATGTATGGGTTAAAAAGACGCTCATCTATCCAAGCACGTTTTAAATACTCGGCATTAAATGCCCTACTCTAGCTTCACCAACACAGGCTAAAATTTTTACAATTAACACAATTAAAGTTGTGTTTATTTTGAGTTTTAAGAAATACCAGTTACACAAGAACTTCAAAAGAAAACGTGGAACTCAGAAAATCAATCTAAGAATGTAAGTTCCATGCAAACAGGAATTTAATTTTATTCACTGCTATGTCCCCTAGTGCCTTGAAAAGTGTCTGCCATCTGTGAGGTGGATGGAATAATTTTGAAGAAACAAAACACCAATAAATTCATAAAATGATTTTATCAACTCTATTAGTGTGGAACAGTTCAACCACTTAAAACATCACTTCTGAGCTATTTATACACTTGTTTACAAGAGCTTATTTCCAATCTCCCTCAAACTGCTGGCCGCCATGCAGGGTTAGTGCATATCGCATAACACACACACACACAGCTTTCGAGGCACCCCCAGCTGCATTATCTATCGCATAAAGCGTGCACACGCGCGCGCGCACACACACAAGGCTTCGGAGGCACCCCCAGCTGCGTATCTCATAACACACACACACACACACACGGCTTCGGAGGCACCCCAGCTGCGTATCTCATAACACACACGTGCACACACACACACACACACGGCTTCGGAGGCACCCCAGCTGCATATCTCATAACACACACACACACACACACGGCTTCAGAGGCACCCCCAGCTGCACATCTCATCACACACACACACACGGCTTCGGAGGCACCCCCAGCTGTGTATCTCATCACACACACACACACACACACACACACGGCTTCCGAGGCACCCCCAGCAGATCTCATAACACACACACACACACGGCTTCCGAAGCACCCCCAGCTACATACCTCATCACACACACACACACGGCTTCGGAGGCACCCCCAGCTGCGTATCGCATCACACACGCACACATACACACACACACACACGGCTTTGGAGGCACCCCCAGCTGCATATCTCATAACACACACAGACACACACATAGACACACCCACACACGGCTTCTGAGGCACCCCCAGCTGTGTATCGCATCACACACACACACACACACACACACACACGGCTTCCGAGGCACCCCCAGCGGCATATCTCATAACACACACACACACGGCTTCCGAGGCACCCCCAGCTGCATATCTCATCACACACACACACATACACAAACACACACACACACACACGGCTTCAGAGGCACCCCCAGCTGCATACCTTATAACACACACACACGGCTTCGGAGGCACCCCCAGCTGCGTATCTCATAACACACACACACACACACACACACACACGGCTTCCGAGGCACCCCAGCTGCATACCTCATCTCACACACACACACACACACACACACGGCTTCCGAGGCACCCCCAGCTGCGTATCGCATCACACGCGCGCACGCGCACGCACACACACACATACACGGCTTTGGAGGCACCCCCAGCTGCGTATCTCACACACACATACACACACACGGAAATGCTGCAGGACTGCTGGACAAAGCACACAGTGGAGCAGGTAATAGGTCCACCTCCACGAACTCGCCCCCATGACAATTTCATGGATAAACTGTATAAAGTAACAACTCCACAGGCTGTACTCTCAGCCACCTTAGGAGGTACCTGATCTACAGAAGCCACAAAACACTTCCTCTGCTGTGGATCACTCTCAAAAGCTAACTTTCAAGACCAAACCATACTTAGTATTTATAACAGGAAGGAGTCCAAAGACATTTAAAGACATAAACATGATACTTTCCCTAAACTAAACATTTTCTAATCTCCTGATTCACAGTGATGCAGTCTTGTGGTCAGTCAGTGAGTTAAAGCTGCTCTTAAATGTTATGATGTACTAAAAAAGTAAAAGCAAAATTTTAATGTTTGAATTAGGCTTTTTATACCTTAATGCAAGTCTCTGTGTTCTTACCTCGTTTTGTTTGCTCTCCATTCTTACTCATTTTGATTGCATTCAATATTTCACAATTACACATAAAAGTATGATAAGTATCTATGCTGTCTGAATTTCCTATGGCAGAATCCATCTGACAAAGTCAATGATGAGGTTCAAAGAAAGACTCAGCTGTCTGCTTTCTAAAACTGTCAGGGCCATCTGCAATATGACTGGCCGTGTGCAAGAGTACCAATTTCATGGGCCCCAAACTACTGGGACCATCAGTTTTTGATAATGTTTTAATAGATATCCAAAAATGACAACTCATTCTGAACTTTTTTCTTGTTAGAATATTTCCTATATCTTATAATCTCTTCTAATCTTTGTAAACTATTTGGTCACATAATTAAATTGAGATCCTATCATGCCTCTTGTTTTTTTGTGTTTTTTTTTTAAGATTTTATTTATTTATTTGACAGACACAGTGAGAGAGGGAACACAAGCAGGGGGAGTGGGAGAGGGAGGAGCAGGCTTCCCGCCGAGCAGGGAGCCCGACGCGGGGCTTGATCCCAGGACCCTGGGATCATGACCTGAGCCGAAGGCAGATGCTTAACGACTGAGCCACCCAGGCGCCCCCTATCATGCCTCTTGTGAATGGACTTTAAAAGTCGGGCGCCTGGGTGGCTCAGTTGGTTAAGCGACTGCCTTCGGCTCAGGTCATGATCCTGGAGTCCCGGGATCGAGTCCCGCATCGGGCTCCCTGCTCAGCAGGGAGTCTGCTTCTCTCTCTGACCCTCTTCCCTCTCGTGCTCTCACTCTCTCTCTCTCAAATAAATAAATAAAATCTTTAAAAAAAAAAAAAAGTTATCCACAGTTCTTATATATGAGGTGGAAGATATATGGCCTCAAAGAAAAGCTCTGCTCAGAGATTCCCATCGTACAGCAATGAAGACTGTCTCCCAAGTAGATGTGTTGTCACAGGCATAGATGCACACGCACATGTGTATCCATGCTCAGATATTTGTGTGTTTGCAACTCTGAATTATGGGTCACAAGTTAAACCCTAGAAACAGGCACCTGGGTAGCTCAGGTGGTTAAGCGACTGCCTTCAGCTCAGGTCATGATCCTAGAGTCCCGGGATCGAGTCCCGCATCAGGCTCCCTGCTCGGCAGGGAGTCTGCTTCTCCCTCTGACCCTCCCCCCTTCTCATGTGCTGTCTCTCTCATTCTCTCTCTCTCAAATAAATAAATAAATCTTAAAAAAAAAATAAAATAAACCCTAGAAACGATCCTAAAGAGACAGAGTTCACTCACAGTGAAGAAGCATTAGCCATCTGCTCCCCTAAACCCTTGAGATAAATGCCCACTTAACCTTTGCAACACTGCTTGGGTGACAGCCCACGCTGGTCTTCTGTACCTCAGACATAAAGCAACTGTAATACTGTATGCATAGCCCTCGCCTGAAAAGATCCATTATTACCCCATTTCTATATGGTGAGGACTTTGTTATAATCATTTCAGTGTTCCCAGCTGTGCATGGAAAACAGTACCTTCTGAACCGGCAAACCTTTTGAAGAAAGACATAATTCAGCAGCATTTTCACACAGCCAATCACTTCTGCAAGTAACTCTTTACACTACTGCCTGGGAATCTCCTTACCATGTGTTATAATTCTCATGACTATTAATAAAAGAATTAAATTTAAAATTTGCTTTTTTAAAAAAGCAGGTAAGTACTAAATGAAAATGCAATTCCGAAGTAAACTTCTGAAAATGATTTTTTTTAAGTCTACTTACCACATTTACCCAAATTCTATCCAACATAATGTGGCATAAAACAATTAAGTCATACATTAAACAGCTCAATGCACCTGCTCAAATTCTAAAGCCTGATGGTCATCCTTTAATGCTAAAGAAAGACGACTCCTATTCTCTGGAGTAACTCTTACTTCTGAGAGGAGAAGGTAACTTCCTACAGACCAGGAAGAACACTTTGGCAACTGTGATTAAATTTTAAGCAACTGAACACCAAGACTTTTTCTAGTAGAAGAAAAACTTTTTTCTACACATGCTCCCATATTTATAATATTATATGAAAAGAGTTTCTAGACAGATATTTTTATTTTATAAATTATAAGAACATCGTAGCTATCCAAGTATGTATGATTTATTAGTCAGGTATTAAACAGAAGTGTTTGTGTTCAACCCACTGATTCACTAATTATTTAACTAGTTTATGGTCACCATCAATTGATAAGAAAAGTTTTCTACTTTCATTAAACTACTAATATTTCACACATAACCTCCTGCCAAGAGTTCTTACGCTGGCAGTCGTGAGTGCCCACAGGTCAGAGGCTCACCTGAGAGGTCCAGCTCCTCGGTGGAGGACAAAGTAGCCAGACTCCAGCTGTCACTGCGGGCCGCCAGCACAAACTTGTGAGCATTGATGTGCTCGCCCCCAACCTTTATCTTCAGATCACTGGTGAAGAGAAATAGCCACAGATACAGAAAGAAAAAGGTCATAATTAGGTATAGCTAGGGTTCACAAATGATAAATATATGGGTACTGCTTGATCAACATCTACTTGCAAAAGAAAAATATCACAGCAAAGTTATTTCTCTGTGCTAGCACTGAATTCTACTGGGCCATGTGTGTAATACATGTTGCTAGACATATTTGTATTTCCAACTTCAAGTTTTGGTTCACATGGGATATTCTGCTTTTCCCTAATGGGATTCTTTTTTTTTTTTTTTTTTAGATTCCATTTATTCATTTGACAGAGAGAGAGAGAGTGAGAGAGGGAACACAAGCAGGGGGAGTGGGAGAGGGAGAAGCAGGCTCCCCACTGAGCAGGGAGCCCGATGTGGGGCTCGATCCCAGGACCCCGGGATCACGACCTGAGCCGAAGGCAGACGCCTAACAACTGAGCTACCCAGGCGCCCCTTCCCTAATGGGATTCTTAAGGTGGTGAACCTACTGGTTAAATAGGATGATTAATATTCACATAAAATGTAATAGAGGTTTCATGCAGAACAAATCAAGATGAATCATCAGGGAGAGAAAGAAAACGTGACGACTATGACACAGGCTCTGGGACCACAGAGCCACACACTGTACCACACTGACAGTCAAGCAAGGGGACGCAGAAAAGCTACAAATTGGCTTTGACCAAGTAGTGAAGAACGTGAAACCAATATCTACATTCTTGTTCTCGACAGAAACATTCAGACCTATTATTGGACATTTTTTACTCAATCATTTATAAAGAAATGGGGTAGGAGAAATCTTTTTTTCAAACATGTTTCCATATTTATGACAAACCATTATTGTGAAAAGAGCTTTCCAAATAGTTATTTATGTTTGACTCTGAAATGTCAAATGCTGAGGGAGGAAAGCATCTGGGCATTTAACAAAAACCTAAGGATGACCCACTGGGCTGACACAAGCATGTACCATATGGCTTTGTTGGCAGCAATAATCCAAAGTCCTTAATTATCATCATTCTGTGTTTTTACAAGTTCTTTTATTTTCATACTCCCCTTCAAAACGTGTTAGGTTGGAAAGCTTTACAAGCTAAATACACAAAAGTCACTACAATAAAAAGAAAAAAAATCTATGATATGAATTAATGCATCCCAAGGAGACCCAAGCAGAATACTGTTTCTATATAATGCTTGATGCAGACGCAGTTTATCCCACGAACCCACCCTCCAGAATGTAAGTAGTCAGCAATTCTAGCTCCACTGAAGACCAAGCTGCAATAGATCAGAAGAGCAATAGGATACTCAGTATTTCAAATTATCACAAACTACTGTTAACACAGTAGAACATTATTAATCAATCAGTAAAAAGAAACAATTAAATATTTTATTTAAAATAGAACATGGGCGCCTGCGTGGCTCAATTGGTTAAGCGTCTGCCTTCGGCTCAGGTCATGATCCCAGGGTCCTGGGATCGAGCCCCACATCGGGCTCCCTGCTCAGCAGGGAGCCTGCTTGTCCCTCTCCCACTCCCCCTGCTTGTGTTCCTGCTCTCGCTGTGTCTCTCTCTGTCAAATAAATAAATAAAATAAAATAGAACAAATCAGGGGCGCTTGTGTGGCTCAGTCATTAAGCGTCTGCTTTCGGCTCAGGTCACGATCTGAGGGTCCTGGGATCGAGCCCCACATCGAGCTCCCTGCTCAGCAGGGAGCCTGCTTGTCCCTCTCCCACTCCCCCTGCTTGTGTTCCTGCTCTCACTGTCTCTCTCTGTCAAATAAATAAATAAAATCTTTAAGAATAAATAAAATAGAACGAATCATATCCTTTGAAAAAATTTCTAAAATTCAATGAAAAACAGGAAGCTGTTTATAAAACACAAATAATTTTTTAAACTCTAAATTTATGTATAAAGTATTAAATTCTAATAACTTAAATGAAGACTCATTGTTTCCTGTTTCAGCCATTGACTGACTTCTAGCCCCAAATTATAAAAATGAATGTTTCTACATATTCATGAATGTCAGGCCAAACTGGGGAAAGGGAAATACAGACAAGGACTTCATTAATAATTTCTAATAATAACAATTTCTACAAATACAATTCAAAAATGGAACACTGGATAAGTTTCTGAGAACTCTATGCAGAAACAATTAGGAGGCTAGTAATTTTTTTAAAATTTTCATTCTAGGGGCACCTGGGTGGCTCGGTCGGTTAAGCATCTGTGTTTGGCTCAGGTCATGATCTCAGGGTCCTGGGATCCAGCCCCACAGAGCACCATGTTGGGCTCCCTGCTCAGTGGGGAGTCTGCTTCTCCCTCTCCCTCTGCCCCTCCTCCCGCTCGTACTCTCTCTCAAATAAATAATAAATAAAAATCATTAAAATTTTCATTCTAGTCGAAGAGCATTTCCTTGTAAAATATGCATACTAGGATGCTGTTACTGGAGAGAAAGCATAAATGAAGAGCTTCTTACTGGTTCCTCAAACACTTTAACAGGAAAAACTATAAGCTTGATTGCTAGAAGAATGATGTATTACCATCACTTTTAACTATCTTAAGGGACAAAAGCCTTCTCCTGAACTTAAGTAAAATTAAAGGGACCAATTTCTTTCACATTTCTCAATCTAAAAACCTTTTAATTCCTCCTCTTTAATTACTCCAGTTACTGAGATGCACAAACAAACAGAATTTAAATTCAACAAAATGCATATTATGGGACAAAGTTTTGTGAGGTTTTTTTTTTTATTTTGGCAAAGGACCATCTGCTTTAGAAACTGATTTTCCAACTTCAGTACTCCATCTCAAAAGCTCAAGTCCTCTCTGAAAACCCTGTTCCCCATCTGATCTCCAAGCTGCACGGGGTGAGGGACAGGCTTTAGAAGCTCAGGAGAGGCCCTGTACTGCAGCGACCCGGCTCATCCCCACGGCCTCCCAGAGGGGTCGAGGTATAATGGAGGCACGCAGCGGAGAAGTAACAGAGAAAGTGAACGATGGGAGTTCTAAGGGAGAAGAGCCTCGAAGTGGGGGAAATGCACCCACAAAAGAAATAGGTCAGGCTTTCCCCACACCAGGGTAAACAGTTTTCACTTGTCCATGGAAAAAAAGAGGGATAGAAAAGAGACGATGAACTGTATTTTACAAGTAAGTAGCTATATCTGTTCAATTTAAAAGGCTGTCCTTTACTCAGAGTATGTATTTCCTGTTTTGGGTATTAAATTTTTTCTTTCTTTTATGAATAATTAAGTTTGAAAGACGGCAGTTCTAGATTTTGATCTATTTTTTTTTAAGATTTTATTTATTTATGAGAGAGAGGGAGTGTGCACTCCAGCAAGAAAATGAGAGACAGCATGAGCAGGCGTGTAGGAGCAGAGGGAGAAGCAGGCTCCCCGCTGAGCAGGGTGCCTGACGTGGGGCTCGATCCCAGACGTGGGGCTCGATCCCAGGACCCTGGGATCATGACCTGAGCCGAAGGCAGACGCTTCACCGACTGAGCCCCCCAGGCGCCCCTGGATTTTGATCTATTTTAGATGTCATGATTTATTTTGTAAGTTTACTAAGTATTAGCTGGCCTGATCGTCCATCTCCTCAGCAGCCGAACTCCCCCTCGTATGCACGTTCACGCCCGTGTCTTTTCCGTACCCACTGCCACCGCCCCGATTCAGCCCTTCCTCGTCTCGGCCTGGACTACACACAGCATCCCAGCCACTCCGTTGCTCTCTTCTCCGCACAGTGCTGCCTACACGATCTTACCAGGTTCGTCTTCCTGAAACGCCACTTTGACAATAACATTATTGTCCAACAGCTCAAAACACTATCCCACACTGCCTAGAGGATCAAGTCCAAATTCCCATCTTGGGGCCTCCCAATTCAAACCACCCCACCCTTCCCACGTCTTCCGGTGCCCCCGCAGGGACACGGACCCCAAGATGGCCCCTCCTGCCCTCTGAATCCTCTGCATGTTGCTGCGTTTCAGCCTACTCTCAGCCCCCCTACTACCCTACCAGTAACATCGCTGTCTTTATCTACTGATTCCTGCCCAGCCTCCACCATTTACCTCAAAGTCACTTAATAACAACAGCTACTATGTGCCAGACACTGATCTAAGTGCTGAAAACACGTACTTATTAATCTAACCCTCACAACAACACAACAGTAAGCAGCAGCAGGATCCCCATGCATGTCCTACAACTTCAGATCACACAGCCAGTAAGTGCCTGCTGAGCTTCTAACACAGGCTGTGTGGCTCCAGATTCCCTCCTCACTCATCATGCTAGCCTGCCCACTCATTCCAAGACTCCTTCTTTGATTATCCCAAGAGAAAGGGACCTTTCCCTCTGAATCCCCGGACACGTAAGCAAATTCCTGTCCACCTCATCAATGCTATCACCATGACTCCCACATTCTGTGCTGAAAACAAGCACATAAATAAAAGGAACAAAATTTTGCCCCAAAGAGCTTACTACATTCCAGGGACTAAAGGTTTGCTAGTATCCTGGTTAGAGAGAAAAAAACTTGGGAACAAAGTCAGTAAGAGAGGAGAAGGTACAGTGTGGCCTGGGAATCAAGGAAAGCACCCTGTGTCCACGGGCTCACCTATACTGCTCCTGCTCATAGAGGTCGGCCACGATCGTCAGCAGGCGGCTGATGAAGGACTCATTGCTGCTTTCCTTCTTTGCTTGCGCAGCCAAAAGAGTGCATCTCTTCTCTGTCTCTGCCAACGTCTTCTGCAGCTTCACGTACTCCTGTCGAAGAAGCATCAAGTGCTTCTCCAACTTGGCCACCTCCTCTGCGAGACAGACAAAGAAGCAAGTTTACCGCGGCAGGTGCGACGCGGACGGCTTCCACTAACCCTCACCCCACAGACAGGACCATGAGCAAGAGGACTGCTTCTTAGTGACACTCCCTCGGGGCCCATGACGTGAGGTGCCACTGCGTCCCTGGGCCAGAAAGACCCTCAGGGTCCAGGAGTTTCTCTTCGCAGTTTCTCTGAAGGTCAGTACTCAATAAATGACAAGGAACAGACACACAGAAGATGCTCACAGGTACCTGCCCTGCAAATCCTTTATCATAAAAGCCAGGAGTCTCAAGGAAAGATTATCAAAATCACCTAGGACTGTTTTTTCAAACCACTAGTAGTGAAAACTGATTCTTCTATGTCCCATGTGAACTCTTTCTCAGGCAAGCTTCAGAACAATCCCATGAGGTCGGCACAATCCCTAGCCACCCGCGCAGAGAGGGTAAGAATTGACCCGCGGTCCTGCAGCTGGCAGGGGGGCTGGGACAAGAGCCCCCGCATTCTCACACCAGGGCCTGTGGTCTGTTACCCACTAACCCACACCACCTGACCTCCCCTCCTTCAGGAAAGCAGCAGGGCAGTCAATACTGGTTCAAATGAAAGCAAGTCACACCCACAGGCATGCTGAGGCGGATTAAAAGGGTTGGTTCTTAAATTCAACATTTACCAAGCATCTACTAGGTCCCAGACACTGCACAATGGCAAGCAAATTCAGATGTATCTTTCCCCAGAGCTTTTAGTTTGCTGCGGAAAGCAAACTTTTACGATTACAATAACAATGCTAACAATCAAAGGCAGAACTACAACTCTAGGAGCACTAGAAGGAAAGAACGGAGGTGTGAGAACCTATAATAAATTTAACTTAGAATGCCAGGGAAGACTTCCCTGAGGAAGTACACGGTCAAGGAACTTCCCTTCTCCATTATCTGGGCTCCAGAGCCTTGCTGAGGTTCACAGCACCATGCTAATCAGTACCTCTGTAGATCATGGTTAGAGACCTGGATCTCTAACCATGGTGCTGCTCCCGTCCCCCGGGCCTTGGCCCCTTTCCCCCCCCTCCCCCTCACGAGACACTGCAAACCCTGACACTGCCCTCCAGCCCACCTCCCACGCAACCTGCCTCATTCTCAGTGTCTTGAGAAAACTGAGCTACTGCCAACAACTCTGGCCACACCAGCAATTCCTCCCACCCACCCGGCGCTTCCTCAGGGCAAGTATCTCCCTCCTATGCAAGTGCGTAATCCCTCCACCTAGGCTCCAAACCCATCCCCTCTGCTCAGGTCCTCTGATTTATCATCAACCTCCCTTCTCAGCAACTTCTCTTTCAACTCTGTCCTTCTCCTCAGCACATAAACCTGTTCAAGACTCTAGTAAAACAAAGCCCTCCTTCCACAGCACATCTGACCACCTTTGCCCTTCCATCTCTAGCTACTACACATCACTTCCTCACCCCTACTCCCCTGTCATTCCCTCCTCTGTCCCCACCATTCCCTTGAAACTCCTCTCAACAATGACCTAATTGCCAAATCCAATAGACATGGGCTGTGGTTCTGCTCCTTCTTTCAGCAACCATGACGCCACCCTCTTTCCCATTCTGGTTCTCCGTCTTTCCCATGCTTCTCTGCATCCCTCCCACCGCTGACCACTGATGCTCCCCAGGGTTCTACCCCCAGCCCCCTTCTCAACTGTATGTCCTCCCAAGGCAGCTCCACCAGGTCAGGCTCTGCAGCTGATGCCACAATCTAAGTGCCAATGATCCACGGACCCATCTCTGTAGTCCAGATTTCTTTTCTTAGCTTCATCTATCCATCTGCCTAAAAGACACTGCTCTCTAGTGGCCCACAGGCACCTCAAGTTCACTATGCCCAGGACAAAACTCTAAGCAAATTTGCTCCGCCTTTGTATGGTCCCTATACTAATAAATGATACCACTGTCTAGCCCAGTGATGTGAAGGGAAAATGTGTGAGTAATCTTAAATGTGTCCCTCTCACTCACATTGCCCCAACTCTACAAAAATCAGCCTTCCCACTTAAACATCTCTGGGAATCCTTCTGTCTTCTGTCTCCCCATATCCACTATGACTTAATTCAGGCCCTCAGTCATTGTATCTGATCTCCAACGTGAAAGAATTCACATCTACATCTCAGAGCCTACCACAGGGTCTGACACACAAAGGTTCACTAAGTACTTGATCAATTCAGTTGAACAAATACAATCCAGTTTTATAAAAGAGGATTCCTTTCCTCTCATCTTCATCCCTCCCCCACCACCTACTATCCAACAGCTAATTCTTTATAAACATGGAAACAATCAAAAACTGGTGCAAAACACAAGAATGGTTAAATAAACTAAGTGTGGTACTTGATTGTGAAGTTATTATGCAACAAATGTTTTCTAAGAAATATGTAATACGGGGCGCCTGGGTGGCTCAGTCGTTAGACATCTGCCTTCGGCTCGGGTCATGATCCCGGGGTCCTGGGATCGAGGCCCGCGTCGGGCTCCCTGCTCGGCCGGAAGCCTGCTTCTCCCTCTCCCACTCCCCCTGCTTGTGTTCCCTCTCTCACTGTGTCTCTCTCTGTCAAATAAATAAATAAAATCTTAAAAAAAAAAAAAATATGTAATACTCTATGTATTCAAAGATAATATATTAACAAAAAAGCAGGCAGTGAAACTAAATATATTTTATAATTCCAATTTTATTATAAATATCCACGTGTGTAAGAAGTAAAAAGACAAATACCACAAAACATTAGCAGATCTCACTGAGGGGGGAATTACTGCACTTCTCTGCACATTTCAGGTATTCTGTAACAAATGTGTTCTGCTTTCATAATTAGAAAAGAATATTTTAAGAGAAATCTGTACAAATACTAACAGACTTTTTTTTCATACATATAGTAGGAAACATTTTTCCTCTCTCCCAGAGGATCTATGTTACATAAATGCCTGGAGTCACAAAGCTGGGTGTGAGTCTCAGGGGTAAGTCAGTTTCCTGGGGAAACAAGGCAGAAGGCACCTGCAAGATGAAAATGTACTTATTACAGCGCTAAACTGACCCTGCGTTTATGAGCTACATACCAGAGGACAATTCCTACAATACCTTCCCAAAATACTGCAATTATTTGGCCTACATGTATTTAAACAAAATATTGCTTTCAAAACCACTGGCTAGAAGAAACAGTACTGACAATGATCCTACTACAATATTTTAAAAATATCAGCACATAGCATTTACAGGTAATGCCCTTAGGTAAATCAAGCCTTTTAGGTAGGACTTAGGTAGGACTAAAAGCCCTTAGGTAGGACTCAGTCTTACGCTTTTACTCTCGTGTGACAGATCTACAGAGGTCACTGGTTTTGAAGAGCTCTTCACAGTGGCTTTGACTAACAAGCCAAAAATTATAATTATTAACCACAAAGGGAGAAGTATTTAGCACAAAACATTAAGTTAATAAATTTTTTATGAGGTGTGAAATTTATATTTTCTCTGTATAGGAAGAAACAGGAAGAAAAACTAGCACTGAATTTCCAGATGTCTTAACAGAAAGTGTAAAAGGACACACAGTCAAGAGTCATATCAAATTCTGTTCAAAACCTGTTAGCACTGAAGCAACACAAATCTACATGTCAGAAGTCATGACAGTGGCTACCTTGGGAGGAACAGCAGGAGGGGAGTAACTGGGAGGGAACATGAGGGCCTCTGTGGTGCTAACATCCTTGTTTAACTGAGTAAATTAATGGATATTTCATTTTGATAATTCGCTGAGTTCTACACTTACTATGATTTCCTCTTTTCCACCTGTGTCTTAGGCTCCAATTAAAAAGTTAAAAACAACTGATACACACTTATAGTGAGTTTTGGAGTCAAACTGATAGTCCAAATCGTTTTAGTAACTAGCCATGGAGCCGGAGGCAAGTTCATCTCTCTGAGCCTCAGTTTATGTGTAAAATGGGGGTGAATGGGGCTGCTTCATGGTGCTCTTGCAGAACTAAATGACAAACGGTACTGTGACTCACATGTGTACTCACGATTGTCAGCATTTCCTCCACCTGCCTGCATTCCACAGTGACATAATTACCGGATAAAAAGTTTAAACTATTTTAACATTAAGTTTACACATTTTTTTTGCGTCATGAAAATCAGAATGGGATTCAAATGTTTTACTGACCTAGGAACTAAAATTGATCAATGAAAGTCATGGCACATCAACAGGACATTATGAGAAGTGTGAAGTGATAAAAGCATGTAATGAGTCACTTTAAATATTGCGTCACGTCAGACAGCAAGTCTGCACTGACAATCCCCACACCAAAAGGCAAAGCCTGACATACTTTAAAAAGCATCACTATTATTCATTTGGAGAGGTGCAAGTTAAGCTGTGCTTTAAAAAAAAACTCTCAGAGAGGTAACTCCTAATATACTACAGTAAGAAGTCACTACCACTGATCAATCTAGAAATGGCAGCATAAGCAATGTCACATAGAGGTAACCAGAGAGAGAAGAAAGTGGTCTGGGGAGGACTGAGGGATGGCACAATTTATTTTTTGCTATAAGCCTTGTAATATTTGAATTTTAATTCTTTGTGCAGTTATAAAGCAAATATATAGTTTTATACACATTTTAAAGATTATGGAAAACAGAATTAATTTTCTTTCTTTTTTTTTAAGATTTTATTTATTTATTTGACAGGTAGAGTCACAGCGAGAGAGGGAACACAAGCAGGGGGAGTAGGAGAGGGAGAAGCAGGCTTCCCGCAGAGCAGGGAG